ATATATATATATATATATATATATTTGATCTATGGATTTTGGCGGTTGTTAGATGGTATAGTTTAAGTTAAATGTTATTTATTTATAAAACAATGAATGATAACTGGGACTTGAAAGTGTTTAATAAAGCACAGTATCCTTCTTCCATCATACGATTAGGTCGCATTTATAAGTAGTCCTAATACTAACTTTCCGATTAAAAGAGGACATTTCGTCCCTTTTGGTAAAATCCACCCGGACAGTTTTTCTTCCTTCGAAAAGAGGACGTAGGGTCACACTGCGCAGAGTCTGGCTCGGATCAGATGTAAAGTTGCAATGGAGAAAGACACCTGATCCGAGTGAGAACGACATTTACTGAGAGGAGATACCCCCTGTTCTTACTCTGTCTCCTGCTCTCTCTTTTCCTGCTATCACATCTCCTCCAGCTGTAATTATAAAGATAGTTTTGTTACCACCACATTATGCGGTCATGCAAACTTAGACTACTTCTGGAAATCTCGAATTACTGTATAATTCCCAAGACGACAGCGATAGAGATAATTGAGATTCTCGCGCGTAATACGCAGATCTTGGAAGAAAATGTTGGAAATCTATTACTTGCAAATTATTCCAGGAAGTATTTCATGCACCGGCACGTGACTGAGCGTGAAATACCACCCTACTCCCCGCACCGCGTGTGATAGACTCTTCAGCGATAACCCAGTCTCACGCGGTTGAGCGAGGTCGGCAGTCGATGTAAACGAAGATGGTTTACCTCATCGCGAACTCATTTTAACCTTTTAGCTATGGAGTTCTTTTCCATCTGCACTCCATGCGGTAAGGGCTTTTTTAAATAGACGAATTCGCTTGACCCGGTGGATGTTTAACTGAGGCAAGTGATGACAGCTACCCTCGCAGTAATGATCGAGATAACTGAGTAAGACAATCAAGTTTTTTTGTGTAAAATTAAGTAATGTAATTTTCATCACTGATTCTGACCAAACATTTATTCAACCAATATTCATTCTTTACCCCGCCCACCCTGCCTCACAATGAACATCAAGTTTTCCGCATTTGAAATTCAAAGTTCCTTGAATGTTTCAAAATTTAAATAATATTTACCACTTGCAAAGAGATATCTACGTAACACGTTATAAAAATTAATTCCAAAGTTGGACTTTGAAAAAATTACTTTCAAAAAAATATTTTCAAAATATTTAAAGTACGTTTTTTAGGATATTGGATCGACATAAAACTATGAAAAATAATTTGTTCAGATTTTTCAATGTGATTTGGACAAGTAAAAATACAAAAATTATTTCTAAAAATGAAAAAATATTTTATTTTCGTTAATTTTATTTTAAAATGTGGAAGAAATACATTTCATACACTGTGAATAACGCTAAATAGTATTGATTCATCTTGAAAGGAATCAATGCTCCAAGGTGGACAGTTTGATTGGAGCTGAAAATAATGTTTAATTATAATAATACGTACATTAATGACCCGAGCGCAAGCAATAAAGTTGATGATAAAAAGTAATTCTTTTATCATCAACTTTTTTAATTTACTTTTTAAACGTTTAATTTTAGTAAAAAAGTATGACTGAACTAGGCAGTGCATTCTCTTACCAGAATACGACTGCGATCGCCCGTAAGAAGCGTTGGCCGAGGCGGGTTTATATTGAGTTCATACCGGATTCTCGTGTTATTGCACCTTTTCTTTGCTAACTTCAAATTGGATGAAACCTTGACTGCAAATTGAATTATGAAACGGACGCTATTTTAATACTTGTTTTATTTTGCACGAAATTGCACGTTTAGGTGGTTACCGCACTAAATTATACGTTTTGGGTAACGCTACCTGAAATTTGCTCATTTTGGGGTTTTACTGAACAAATTTGCAAGATTCATAGTTTTATTGGATAAAAAATAATTATTTTACTATCAACTTTTTAATTTACTTTTTAAACGTTTAATTAAAAAAATATGACTGAACTAGGCAGTGCATTCGGGTGGTCTCTGAAATGCGAGCGCCGTTTAATACGAATCAATTCTGCATTTTGTTTCCCTATTAACTGAGCTTCTATATCTTTCATGATACATATTGTCTAATTGAAAGTGTTGAGGAATTCCAGTTCGGAGTGGAGATGCACTGTGTTCGCATGAATTCGGCCCTTCGTTGCGGCCGCTCAACCAACGGGTCTGTTTTTCCATTCAGATCAGGTATCCTTCTGTCGGTATTCGCTGAACTATGCAACACGAGACTGCAGGCGCGACTATCATTTGACCTTACGACCTGGCGCGAGGCCTGGCGGCAAGCTGCACTGCGTGTCAAATTCATCGAAATTCTCGGAACGGGTGTTGCTCTGTCAGGTATGAGAGGGAAAATCGACCGAAAATTAACACACGTAGATTGAGGCTTCACTTACAGATAGTGAACAAGCCAAAGGTGAAGAGTAGTTTAAGTTCTAAATTTAAGTAATGGATACAAAAATTCCTAGATCTAAAAACAGGCGGATCAGTAGTGTTTTGCTTTCCTTGTGACAAGAATATTGGAGCGGGGAGTAAATCACAAATTGATGCACACGTCAATACAAGAAAGTTGAATTATTTTCCTGTAACATATTCTACGTTGATGGAAAGGTTTCTCTACCTACATATTATTTTATAAATTTTATAGGCACTCATAAGAAGGCTGTTGAGATTAAGAAAAGTAAACATAATATGACGCAATGGTTGCTGACAGAGATATGCGGCATAAACCCAGGCAGCAATTTACAATAGTCTCTTTCAGCCTATTTTAACAACAATAATGCCACAGTACCATAAAAATAATATAATTATACTCAACTGGAATATTGCATTTCAAAGAGGAAAAAAACCCCTCACAATAGTTATATTTTTAGATATTTCGAAAGCATTTAACAAAGAGTGGCATCCTGGTTTAACATTCAAACTTTAAAAAAATAAGTACCCCCAACTATTTAATTAATATTATTAATATCTTCCTTTAAGATGGAACATTTTCAGTCGCAGTTAACAAACACACATCCATTCCCCACAGAATTACAGCTCGATTACCTCAAGGCTCACCACTGTCCCCCACGCTTTCCAAATAAACACATTCGACATTCCCATAACATCGCATATGCACATCGCCCAATTCGCCATTGACACCGCAATTTTCATATCAAACCATTCAAGTTTTTTAATCTGTAAACAAATTTAAACATCTAAATAAAATTGATGACTGGTCTGGTAAAGGGGAAATCAAACTCAATCCTACAAAATCATCCACCAAAATATTCTCATTAAGAACATTTTCAACCCCTACACCACTCCAAATAAACAATCGCCCAATTCCATGGACCCCACACAATCAATCTTTCAAATACTTAGGGCTGAATCTTGATACCAGATTCAATTGGAAAATCGCATTACAATAAAAGCACAGCAAGCCAAAATGAAACTAATTGAATTGAAGCCACTCTTAAAGCACAATAGTAAGCTTTCATTAAACAATGCCATTTCCATCTATAAATAAATAATTAGACCCCTAATGCTTTATGCATGCCCTTTCTGGATGAACATCTCTAAAACTAACATCAGTAAATTAGAGATAATCCAAAATCATTTCCTCAAACTTGCCTGGTTCATCTCAAACATTCAACTGCACAAAGAATTCATTTTACCCCCTATAGTGCACCATATTGCACTCCTATCTAACAATTTCTTCTCCAAAATGAACACAATAACCCAAGCCACTTGGCCACCACCTACCAGCTCCTAACTAGAATAAA